TACTGCATCTTTACTAACAGCCTTGGTTTTTCCCCTTGCATATGTGAACCATTTATTGGTTTTTTGGTTTGGGGTTTTTTGGTGAAAAAAAGTGTGTGTGTGTTTGTTTTCCTTGTTGTTTTGTTAGACGGCTGCCAGGAGCAGTACTGCCACACCACAGTCCAAATCCATAGGAGTCAAGATCCCTACCTGTAAGATCAGTTTGAAGGACACCTTCTTAACATCTCCTGAGGAGCTCTACCGGGTATTTGTTACTCAGGAGGTAATGCCTGGCTTCTTCTGACAGTTGTTCTTTGCCTACAGGGGCTCTTTCTTATAAGGTTTTTAAGACGTTCTGTTGGGCGCTCACAACCCATGAGAATGGAATCAGAAAGCAGTTCTGAGAGTAGCTGCTGAAAGCTTGTGTGTGCATCTTTTCACACAGCTGACAAGAGGGGATTAGTGCCAACCAGAAGCAAGTTCCAGACTGCTGTCAGCATCTGTCTGTAGGTGTATCCCTTATGCATGTGGCCAGATCACTTGGGATTTACAGTTGTGTGCTTCTGGTTTGTTTTTTCCTTTTCAGGTTAGGTGGTATCAAAAGCATGCTTTGGGAATAGCTTCCACTTTTCCGCATGCCGTTAAATTAGGAGGAGAGAGCAGCATTGTGTCATTATTTAAACATAGTCTTTTGTTCTTCCTGTTTTGATAAGAAAAATGAAAAAGCAAAGAATATTTTTTTCTTAGAACTAGGTTTCATTAAGAAATCAACAAAGTAAATCACTGTGTGAAACAAAACAATGCATAGCACTATGAAAGCCAGAGGTTCTTTTTGGGCAGGTGGAATGTTGCTGTAGTAGCTAAAAACTTGCTTTTCTGGCCAGGGGTTTTGTCTTTTTCTGAAGACCTTACACTATTGACCTACCTCCTCTTCCAGAGCTTTTGTATCTAGGTGGGAGGCATTAGGCAATGAGTTTGCAGGAAAATAACATCAAGTAATACAGATCTGCTCCTGAATTCTTTTCAGATGGTCCAAGCTTTCACCCACGCACAAGCCACCTTGGAGGCCGATAAAGGGGGCAAGTTTCAGTTGCTGGATGGCAGTGTCACAGGAGAGTTTGTTGACCTAGTAAGTACTAACCAGTTCAGGTGTATCTTGCTCAGAGGCAGTGCTGTTATCAGGCTGTAACTTTTTATCAGTTCTGTTACAATGCTTTTGTTAGCTGACCGTGGGGTTCCACCTGGTGCCCAATAGTTACCTATAATTTCTGTGGCTATTGAAGCATTCTTAGTAGCATGGATTAATGCATGGCACTTCAGTCTGGGAGAAAATGTCACTTCCAGTCATAGATCTCCCCTGTCTTTTTGTGATTTTACTTGTCAGGGGTTGGAGGAGCATTATAGACAGTAACTGACCCTCCTTCTCTTTGTCTCCATTGCCACTAAAGTCTTCTGGACAGTCAGGGACTCTGTCTCAGTGTTTGGGGCTACATACCTTTCTAGAAGGGGATTGAAAAGAAAATGACACTTAAAATCTGTTTCCCTCTGTGTGTGTTTTTCACAAGGGATCTCTAAGGCTTCATTCATATCAACACAATTCTAGATGTTTTCTGTTAGACTGTAGGATTTACAAAAAGTTACTACTGAATCTTTGTCTTCCTTTTCAAGGTTCCTGAGAAGCAACTTGTTATGAAGTGGAGATTTAAATCTTGGCCAGCTGGTAAGTAGTCCAGAAATGGACTTGCTGTCTTTGAAGGATACCATCCCCATTTGCCACACTTAATTGTGGCTCCTGATCAGGGAGCACAGGATGTTCTGGGAGCTGCTCCAGTGTTTTTCCAGTTTCCTATCCCACATTATCGTGTGTGCATCTTCAGCCACTGTGTAGAGCAGTGACCAGGTAGGAAGGATGAAGTCGCTGTTTTTGCAGCTGTAGCTGCAACTGCTTCAAACTGCAGGGAGAGGGAGCCCTCTTCTCGCAGTGTTTCTAGGGAAGGCCTACAGCTGCCATAAGTAGATACTCTGGGAAGGACCTGGAAGAGTCTTAAGCGGTGCCTTGTGAAAGGAGGGGCTGTGTGTACTGTACTACACACTGCTGACAGGTCTGCTTTGGTTCCTCTAGGGCACTTTGCAACCATCACCTTGAACTTCAATGACAAAGGTGGCGAGACGGAGGTGTGCTTGGAAGGTAAGGGCGTTCCTGCCAGTGAGGAAGAAAGAACAAAGCAAGGCTGGCAGCGCTACTACTTCGAGGGCATTAAACAGACATTTGGTTATGGTGCCCGCTTGTTTTAATACCGGTTGCTGGGAGGCTCTGCCTGAAGACTCTGCCACATGGACTGATAAAATTCTCGCCTGTTCCTTTCTAATCTTGGCCCTGCCGCTGAGTAAAGTGGGATGACAGGTGATGAAGAAGGCCATGGAGCAGCACCACTTTCAGTCCCTCACTGCTTTGTGCATGTCTTGTGCTGCAGGGGATTCTCTTACATGTACATACTTCTATTGCTAAATAAACCTAACTTAAAAAAACCCTGTGGAATTCGTGTCCTCGGATTGGCTTGAGTTCAAAGGGTTGGGTGATAGGCTGAGGGAGGGATCTGTCTAGAAAAACACCGATCAATGAGGATTGCTGATGCCAATGTGATTTACTCCTCACTTCTGGGGGAGTACAGAGCATGAGCTTGATGCAGTTTTTAGTCTGAGCAGCTGCTCATTTTCCCTCTGCTTTTGATCTGCCGGTAGTAAATGTTTCAAACCCTTCCCATTTTTGAAGGGATTTGTGATCCAGTTCAAGCTGCTCCTCTCCTTTGCATATCCACTTCAACACGGTCATTTCTTGCACTTCCACTAGTCTGCTCTACAAGAATGACAATCATGCAAACCAGTGCTATGGAAACTGCCAACTACTGGATGGTTCTAGAAGGTTGTGGGGCCTAGGGCTACCTCCAGCTACCTCCAAGAGCTTCAGGCCAAAGAAACCTTTTCAGAAGTAAATCCCACCTCCACTTAGGGTCTACAGGATGTAGTACTTTTTGCTCATCATACTTCAGCTATTGCTTTAAAAGGTGAGAGAGGAAAAAAAAAAGCTTGTTCTCACCTGTTAATAGCTTAGTTCCTGGAGCTGTCTTCAAAAGCAATGAACTTGTTTATAGGAGGGGTGAAAATCTCATCAGAAGTGTCAACCTGCTTAACCTCAAGGGTGAGAGAAGTGCTTGGTTTTCTTTTGGAGGCGTGAGCTTCTCTTGTATGCTTTGTTTTTTCCTAGTGTTTCCTGCAGAGCTCCTCTAGTAAGCTAGAAGACAGTAATGTTACTGGGTGAAATTTACTGGTTTGGGGATTTTTTTTTGTTTTTAAAAAAATTTTTTAAAAATCTGAATTGTATGTGGTAACTGTTCCCTTCAAGAGGAGACAAAAAAACTTTAGTGGCTTTTTTTAAAACCCCCTGAATGTAGTCATTGGAGTCTCCTTTTAAACTATAAAGCCCATTCTGCCTGTTCTCACTACTCCAAAGTGCTGAAGTATGAAAAAATTATGATAAAAGTGTGTACAGACAGACATCAAGAATGCAGCATGGGACTAAATTCTGTAGTGTGTACCTGTGAGAACAAAGGAAGTTGTACAAAAAGGCAGCTGCAGATATGGTAGAGCTTCCCTGTGCCATGCAGGGTTGTCTCCTAAAGCACTGGCTGGCTGGGAAAATGGATGCAGGTGTTTTGCCAGGATTTTTGTGCACAGATGAACTCCTGTATGCACCCGGTATGGTGCAGGGCAGCACGTAACATGACGGAGCACACTGATCTCACCGTATGCTTGGGCTTCTGTTTGGGAAATCCTGGGCAGCAACGTGGGAAACCTTAAACAGCAGGGCTAGCAAGTGAGTTCACAGCCAAAAATTTGGTAAAAGAAGAGCAAAATTATTTAAAAACTGAAAAAAATGAGCTTGTTCTAAGTCAGCTGGAGACACAGGTGACAGCTGAGTTGCGGTCTGTGCTGTGCTTCGGCAGCTGTGCTGCATGGCAGTGCTCGCCTGCTGCAGCCTCTGCTGCCACAGCTGGGCCAGAAGGCAGGCCCTGCTAATCACCTGCTGCTGGAAGGTTAGGAAGTGGGACAGGAAGGCAACTGAAGTGGAATTTTAATTGCCTTCCTTTCATCACAAGCAGGGTTTACTTCAGGCATCCTGCTGCTACTCTAATAGGGCACGCTGTGGCCTCGGCCAGCAACCCACATGCATGGGGCTGATGGACTCAGGGCTGTGCTCAGAGGCCATTGGAGGGCTCTTCCAGCAAAAGTGACTACCCTGAGTTATGCTGGTGCTTCCCCAGCTGGCTCCCGGCCCTGCAGGCTGGAAATCACCATCCCCACAGCAGCAGAACAGGCTGTGTAATGTAGCCATGCCTTGGCTGCCGTTCACACGTGAATCTCTTGGACTAACCCAGCAGTGAAGCAAAGCTTCTGCTAAAAGGCCGGGCTGTGCACTCAAGCAGAGTGTGCCAGGCTGTGCCACCTCTAACAGGACACAGCAATGGTAATTAAGGCCTTACACCACTTCAGACATTTACTTGGTTGAGGAGATCTGAGCCTTTTAAGTCATGCTAGAGAAGGTCGCTGCACTACATCTGCTTACTGGCAGCAGACACACACTCCTGCAGCTACAGCTGACCTCCAGTGCAGCTACCATGCTAATGAGAAACTCCAGACCTCTGCTTTACTTGGAAGTATTGGAAAACAGTCACAGTTTAGTAGTCCTTCAGCTATTTGGGGAAGGGAGTGATGTATAAAATTAGGGGAAAAAGCAGGGTTCAGTATACTCTGACCCAAAGGCTTTTCAAGAATTTGACACAGGATGAGAGGAAAAGTCCTGTAAATTAAAGAAAACAAAGGTTAAAAAAACAGAAAACAGAAGGAATTTTTTCAGTGATGGAAGTCAGAGGTGGATCCTCACTGACTATGCTGTTATGAGGCACACGGAGAAGAGTAAGAAGCAACCATCAAACAATAAACCAAAAGGGGTCTTTGAACTTTGTTAAGACTGTAGGCAATGCTCTATATAATAGTTTTATTAGTACATAAGGGAAGGCCTAATAAACCTGTAACGAATCCAGTACATTTCGGTATAGAAGATAATATATTTGGTAACTTAAGAGTAAAAAAACCAAAAAAACCAACAAAACAAAACATTACCACTGGTGCTGTAAAAGACAAGTTTAGGAGATAATTCTAGAATCAAAAATTATCTTGACCAAGTGAAAAAGTGAGATGAGCAGGACTACAGCTGAAAACCTTCAGTGTGCTGGGGTTTGTTTTTTTCCTAGTCTTCTGCTCCAGAGGTGTGCCACCAGCACAGAAGACCAACGCAGCCACACAGTGAGGTGTGTCCCTTCTTAGGCCAGAACAGGGGTGTCTGAAAGGTTTGTTTCTTCTCTAGAACTACAGTTTTAACTCAAGATCCACAGACCACAACCACATCTTGCTATTTCCTAGGTTAATACCAGGCATTGCAGTTCAGGCCTGATGCACAGGCTTTGGCTAAACTCTCCTGGCATTATCACTCTCTCTTCTCCTTCCAGAGGCCCCTTCTGGGCCCAGCTGGGCTTTTTGTGTGCTTTCTAAGAAGCAGATTCTTGGAGGTGGAGCCCTGAAAAAAAATTCAGGTAATGGGATTTCTGTTGCTGTAAATATGTTCCTACAAAATCTCATGTTCATCCCTGAGAGATGGGCTTTACTCACCCCAGCTGTGTCCCAGCAAAATCTGGGCAAGGCTCCTTCTGTGTGCAGACAAACACCACTACAGGCTGGATGCCAGGGGACTGGTCCAGCTCAGCTCCACTCCAGGCTGGCAGACTGAAACAACTCAACAGCAACCAGTCAGGAAGTTTTGTGCTCAAAGCATCAGGCAAAAGTGCAGTTTAAGACTGTCACAGACTCATTGTATGAGCTCAGGTGACATCTCCAGGTCTCCAGCACCTGCAGAATTAGGGCAGGAATTCTTCCTGCTTCCAACCTCTGGCTGTGGGATTTCTATATCCCAGGAGTTTCACAGCAGGGTCCATCATCCAACACAGCAAGGACCTTGCTGCAGAGGATAAAAGCACATTAGGCACGTTATACACATAGCAGTAACTGCTGACTGCTCCTCTAGAGAAAGAATGATTTTCTCTGAGCAGAGTGGAGCTCAGCCTGCTCCTCCTGGCTTGGGCTCCATGCAACAATGTTTTTGATGTTGCAGAAGGCCAGTAGGAAGCCCCTAGCATCCTCCACTGAGAGGAGTCACCTGCTCCCCCAGGTAGGGGCCAGCAGTGGTGCCAGGCAGCTGTGAAGCAGTCCCATGCTAGAGTAGCAGATAAACCCTTGACAGATGTGCAGCCAGAGCAAAGCAAAAGGAGTAAGAGAGGAGCAGAAACAGCTGGAAATAGCAAGAACCTGGAAGTGTTTATGATTTACACACTAGATTAACAACAACAAAAAGTTGTGATCCCTGGAAAGCTTTGCAAACCCGCCCGCTATAATTAGCTGGTGGCTCTGGAGGTGGTTTGCTAAGCCAGTTTTTTAGCTGGGATGATGCTGGGGTTTTTCTTCCTGCTGTGGTGTGCTGGACCATCAGCCAGTACTCAGCTCTGACCAGGCTGAGCATGGAATAAAACCCAAGGTCAGGGCTGGGGCACAGGCAATGCCTTTGCTTCTCAGCACTGGCCCTGAAGGTGTAGGAGGCTTCCTCCCCTGTAAGCAGAACTTCACATATCCCATGGGCTCCAGACAGTCTTTCTTACCTGTGACTTTTGCATCCAGACAACTTCAAATGCAAATGTTAAAGGAAGCCACCAGGGCCCCAGGTGGGGCTGGGAACCCAAGACATACAGTGTTAAACATAGGATCATCCCTCTCAACCAAAATAAATAGCAACACATGCTTCAGTCACAACTGAATGACATCAGCATGACATATACATACATAAAGTGCTTTATTGCAGCATCAGATTAAAGAACTCTTCTCTGTGAAATTTTGTAGGAATAAAAGACATTTTATATATATATTATATATATAAAAAACCAATAAACTTAAGGAGTGAAAGCTTAGAGATTCATCACTTAAATAGCAGTGGGTTGGACAGAATCTTTGACGGGATATAAAAATAAACACTTGCTTAATGTCTACTTTTCTCACTGTGCTCTGCAAAGCCTCATGGTGTGTAAGGTGCTTGTTTGAGGAACAACAGTGCTTGTTTCTCATGCTCCAGTTTGTGCCTGTATTGTCCAAACCACAGAGGCAGCAAAGCAGAACAACTACTTGGCTCTCAACTAGCTTGTGTGGGGATGTCAGGGAATGGGGGAGTATCAATGCAAGAAATGTTTTTACTTGCCCTTGGATGGAACTCCAGTTCTTACAGAAACTACAAGTTTTTTTTCTGGGGGTTAGACAGGTTGACATAGCCAGAGAAAAGAGGAGGGTGAAAGTCCTGGGTAACACTCTGACTGTAAGAGCACTTAGAGAGCAGCCAGTCTAACAAACAAATTGGCTGAGCTTTTGCAAGTCTTCTTCAAGAAAGACTGTTTGTAGAAGTCCTGCTTCCATGCTTGGGTCCAATACTGAGCACTAGGCATGCTCAACAGGAGGTTCTTTAAAGAAGTCTGCACTGATGGTAAATAAACTCCACTGACAGTTTGATGAAGGTAATGACGGCATATAGTATGCGAGTGGAAATATGCTCTGTGGAATGACTGCAGTTCACAAGCTCATCCTTCCATGGCTTCAGACACTCACAGCTTCATTTGCATCCATGTCTCTTGCTGAGGCTCCCTGGCCCCCAGAACCAAGCCATCAGATCACTGTCACCCTCTCTTGACCACCTCTGTATGACCTACCTCTTTGCCAGCAACTAGCAAGTGAATGACCATCTGGGCCAGAGAACATGCAGTGATCATGAAAATGTTCCAGGGTCTAGGTCTCCATCCATGCTTACTTGGTTCTCTTCCTTCTCACCATTTACAGAACACTGGTCATCTCAGACTGCATGTCTGCCTGTATTTTGATAGAACCCATATCCAGAGTCTAGGGATACAAGGGTGTAATAATAGTTGAGGAAGAATAATTCAGCAATAACTTCATTAATACTTTTGTTTTACCAGCTATGAAGTCTTAGGTATGGATGATCAAGGATGCATACAAAGACCCCCCCTGAAAGACTCCCCAAAGAGCTTTCAGACCAAGAATATTCACTGAGGCTGGAGAAAGCTCCTGCAAAAAGGACAGACAGTACAGGATGGTCAACTAAGGACCTCTGCAACCAGTTATTTGGTTCAACAGTGCCCTGCAGAAGTACATGGAGTAGCTAGCAGCCTTGCATGAAACCTCTAGAGTAGAAATGACTCCATTCTTCTTGATGTGTGCTTGATTTTTATTTCCCCTGATGTATAAAATTTCTTAAATAAAACCTATTAAATTTTCTGCCAGTTTAGCAACTGCATGTCCTGGGACAAAGGTGCTCAGCCTAGTTTCTCTGCAGAAAAGCTTCCAAAATATGCTGGGAGACACTGCCATGGACCTGTGAAAAGCTGAATAAAACCCAGGCAATATCAAAGTGCCAACAGAGAACATCATGATCCCTGATCTGTGGACACCAGGTATTGACATTATTAGCACGTGTGTCTTCCTCCTCTGGAGCCACACTTGTGAGCCTGGAGTGGAAGTGAGCCTGAGGGATCCATGGCTTGGTTTGTCTGGGTTGCCTCCAGGTGGGGACCTGGGCAGACACAGAATGGAGCAGCTGGGGACATGGGCAGACTCAGCATGGAGCAGGGCTAGCTTGGCTCAGTCTTTTTGCTCCTCATCAGCAATGGCATGAGCAGTGGCCAAGATGCCTCCTGCCCCTGGCAGGGCTGTGAGTGGGAAACACAGGACTTTCTTTTGGGCTGTGTCCCAGGTGCTCTTGAGACCCTCTGGGGACTGCCAAGGAGCCAAGGTCTGGTAGAGGGTTAGTGCTGTGACTTGCAGAGATGCTACCATCCTGTTCCCCCAAGCAACATGGCACAGGAGCTGAAATGCACACAGATGATGTGTCCCCATGCTGACCCCCTCTGAGGACCACCTACATGTAGCTTTGGCAGCCAAAACCCTGGTGGCTAGGCAGTCTTGCCGAGGAAGCCCAGGCAGCCTGTCTCCTCCTGCCCCACAGCCCACTCCCCCAGACCCACAGACCCATCAACCTTTCCCTGCTCCTTCCCAACCGTGCATGCACAAACCCAGGGATGGGGGGCCCTGCTCTGTATGCGTGGCTGGAACGGCCCTGCACTCTCCAGGAAGACCTACCCCCAGCTTCAGACATAAACCAGCTTGTGCCAGGGCAGGTGTACAGACAAGGGCAGGCAGCAATGCCCGTGGCAGCTCCTCAGATGTGGTGTGAAGCCAGCAGGAGCTGAGCCCACTTCATTCACCCTGTGCTCAGCTTTCAGGCTGCACTGAAAGGTCATAGAGAATAAAAGCAGAAAGGAGCAGCCCTTGTTCCCCTTATATCTCCCAGCCCCTGCTGCTTTCCACATGCCAGGCCAGGAGCTCTGGACTGCAGGACTGCCCTGGGTGGCAGGGCAGGGAGTGCACCACAATAACCTCCAGTACCCTCAGAAATCGGAGGAGACACTCCTCCGAGGGGATGGGACAGACGGCGCATCCTCCCCGTTTTGCCTGGCACCGCTGAGGAGCCCATGAGCAGGGTCAGGGCTGGCCAGGCTGCGCAGGGACGCAAGCCAGTGGTGGCGGTGGCACCTTGGAGAGTGGCTGTGGCTAGTACTCCTTGGCCTCCTGCAGCTGGGACAGGTACTCCTCCTCGGCGGGGTTGTCGGCACACCGTTGCCCATTGTTGGGGGGCCGGACGGCGTGATAGCGGCTCCAGTCACCCTTGCAAAGGATCCAGGGCAGCATGTCCACCTTGTAGTGCAGCTCCGGAGAGAACTCGGTGCTGATGAGGTTGGGGACACCGGCCCCCTTGCCGCGGGTGATGAGGCGGGTGTGCTCGTCGTAGCAGCAGTGCTGGGCAGCCAGGGTGGTGCTGTCCAGGGACAGCATGGAGCGCAGACAGAAGCGTGCCGTGGGCTTGTAGATGTCCAGGCGCTCCTTGGGGCCGCTGGCATCCCGCCATCGGAAGCTCTTGCCCCGCTGCTCGTCGCGCAGGTTGACGGCACTGTAGACGGCCTCCAGGGGGTAGGAGCAGGGGCAGCTGGGCAGGTCTGTCAGCACCTTGCTCAGGTACTTGGTGAGGAAGTCGCTCTTGCAGTTCAGCCACTTCTCACAGCTGTCCACCTCTGGGGGAAGGCACCAAAAGGGTGAGGGCATGCACACTCTGCACCCCACTTTACCCAGCGGCCATCTGCCTGAAGCCATGCCAACACCACCAGCAGAGCCTGCAACCACCAGGCAGGAGCAGCCAGACTCTTGGGATGAGCTGGAGCCAGGCTGCTCCCCCAAGGCAGTGACAGAGGGAAGGGGGTTTGTGCTGGGGCCGGGCTCCTTATGGGAGAGGGCACATGGCAGGCTGGCTTCAGCCACTGAACCCTAAAGCAGGACTGTGCTGTACCAGGGCTGTGGGAGCAACTGGGTTTCCCAGCATGACCACTGAAGCCTGCACATGGCAGTGGTTTGGGTGACTTAGGTCTGGACACCAGACACAGGACCCCTTGGCTGAACCCTGAACCCTCCCTGCCCACCAGCTACGACTCTCCCAGGGTCTGTCACAGAAACCCCCAGTGCAAAGCAGAGGCAGGGGCTGACCTGAGTTGAACAGCTCTGTGGTGTTGTCGCTTTTGAAAGGTGTCTCCTCTGTGGGGAAGACCATCTCTCCTTCTGCTCCTTGAGACAGAAAATAAACCAAAACAAAGAGCCCAGATGAACACAGGAGGAAAAGTGTTTTTTCCCCTCTGTATGTGAACCAGACACCACCCATCTCCCAGCCCCTCTCCTGCCACTTCTTTGGTAACATGGTCCTGTGACTGGAAGGAAGGGCCAGCAGCAAGACTGGCCCAACAGAGGCTGTTAGTTTTGTAAATCCCAGCAAGAGAGAACTGGGTCTCAATATGCCCCAGGAGAGGACTTCAAGCTCCCAATATGAGAGAGGTGCAAGAAGTCACACACCAAACTTAGTGCCAGTTCTACCACCCCTGGGCCCCACACAATTGCCAGGGGAGCCATGAAGCCCAATCATAGCTTCTTTGTGGAAACAAAGCCCCATGGTCATTAGCCCTGATCACATTAAACATAACTGATTCTTGAAGCATGAGCAATGCCCAGCCTGCAGCAGTGGGGAACCAGCCCACATCAAAGTCAGGCAGTAGCCAAGGACTGTTCTGGCCAGGGGCTCACCAGGGCAGTGTGTGAGATCGCAGGTCCTCGACTCTGTTGCTGTGCAGGCATAGCCACAGGATCGGGTCCTCTTCTGGTTGCCACTGCCACAGGTGATGCTGCAAGGGGACCATGGGCTCCACTCCTCCTCATCTTCATAGTCTGTGCACAGCAGGCAAGAGGCAGAGAGTGATGGATCTCAGCAAAGCTTTGGCAGGAGGGGAGACAGCATCCACCTGGACCTCCCTCAGCTCTGCCTCCATCCCTGAACAGGGACAGTCCTGCCTGGGGCACACGGAGATGCCCAGCCATGCAGTGCCAAGGGCCATGCCCATCCTCACTGCCAACCCCAGGGAAGCAGCCCTGAGCAAAGGCTTCATTCTCACAGCTTTGCTCCCAGTCATACCTACCCAAACAGGTATCGCTGCCCACCCCACATGGTCTAGCACACTGGCCACGATGCTGAACACCACGTGTTAGCAAAGGCTGCCTGGTTTTGGGGTCATGGCCAGGAAGCTGCAGGCTTCTGCTGCTGTGGTGCCCTGGCCCATCTGCCCACAAGAATCTGCCACCCAGCTCTCTGCAGCTCCTCTCCCGGGGGGAACCCAGCTCTGTGGAAAAGGCTTCTGGCGCTGATCTCACACAGGGACCTGAATCAATGGCAGCAGCACTCGGCATTAAACATTTATATTGTATGGCTCATCTGAGTGTGCCTTAACTAGAGCCCATGCTCCAGTGTGATTACATGCAAGGACAATTCCCGCTGGGACACTGGCATGTCTGACTGCTGGCAGCCCAGCTCAGAGTGCTGGCCTTGCTCCTTGGCATGTTTGCTTATTTTGTAAGTAGGAGCTGAGCACTAGTGTGCTGTGATCCCTGGTGCAGGGCTGTCAGCCAGGCAGGACAGGGGAGGGCATTGCTGGTCTGCAGGGCAGCTGCATGTGCCAAGAACTCACCGTAATTATATTTTTCCTTAAAGATCCAGTTTTTCTGCCCAGGCCATCGCTGGTCCCAGTTACCACCTACTCCACTAAGCATGGACTCCTCCTCCTCATAATCTGTTGTGTAATCTTCCTCTTCATCATCATCCTCTTCTTCTTCCTCCCTGTCCCCAACATCCAGGTTGTCATCCTCTTCCTCCTCTTCCTCCTCCTCTTCATCTTCCTCCTCCTCCTCCCCCTCAGCAGGGTCAGTGTATTCCCAGAAGAGGGGCCAGAATAGGTCCTTGTGGGACAACCACTCAGAGGATGTCAGAGACCAGTCATTGCTTGTCTCCTTCAACAAGTCCATCTCCATCTCAGCCTGAGGATCATCCACCACTTCAATGGTCACCTGGTGGGCAGACATGAGGCAAGGCAGTGAGCTGGGGCACAGCCCTTGGACAGAGCTACCAGACCATGCCCTGGCTCCCAGCCCAAGAGGCTGCAGACACTCAGGGCCGCAGGACCATATGAGGAGTGCAAGTGGTATCTCCTCATCCACAGGGACTGAGCAGGGACAGAGTGGGAAGCACAGGGTGGCTGGTGGTCACCCACAGGAGCCAATGCCACCCTCAGAAATTGAGAGGTCACCCATGTTAGGACAGTTTCTTCCTGCTCCATGAAGAGGGGCTGGGGAGGCCAGGGGAAAGGCTGTGAGCAAATTCCTCAGTCAAGGAGCTTCTCCATGCCAGCTATCTGCAGCTGGTAGTCACCAAGAAAACAGATGACAGCAGCCACACAGACCCTGCTCATAAGATCTTTTCTCTTAGGAACCAAATGAGGGTGGAGAGCACCACTTTCACCACAGCACACACCCACATCCCCCCGTGGCCCTCCCAGACCCACTCCCCACCTGGATGTTGGGGTTCTGGGCACTCAGGTCCACATTGGCCAGCCCCGGCAAGTTCTGCAGGTCCAGCATGAAGGGCAGGCTCTCCTCCTGGCCAGCAGCACTGGGCTGGGGCAGCGCCGGGCTCCTGGCGGCCTGCTGAGCCAGCCCCCTGCGCCGGTGCCGCCGCGGGCCGGCCTGCCCGCTCCGCCTCAGCGCCCGCGGCCTGCCCGACGGCGGCAGCTCCTCGTCCCCTGCTGAACGCGGGCTGGACGATGCGGACACCTGGAGAGGGAACAGCCACAGACAACAGCTCTTGATGGTGGTGCTGCAGGGCAGGGAGCAAACCACCACCCAGCAAAGATGGGTCTGGCCTCTTGCCCCAAACAGTTCCTCCACCCCTTCCTACTGCAGCATCAGGATAGCAATTAACATGCTAATCAATCAAATTAATACCAAGTGCCCTGTGCTGTGCCAGGGCTCAGTTCTGCTGCACCTGAACCTACAGGTCTATTCAGACTGGTACTTCTCAGCTCCATGATCCTTGCACCCCTCTGCTGTCCCACTGCCCATCTCACCTGGCTTTCCACTTCTCACTCTCCCTCTTTAGTTATTTCTCAGTCCCTGCAAATGGGTTAACAGCAAGGATTGTTTCTGGCCACAGAGTTAGCACAGGTCATGTTTAATACTTTTATATATTTATATAAAAACTTTACAACCAGGGCTTTATGACAAAGGGGAAAACCTCACCCAAATACATTGTTCTGTGGTATTGGTATGAGGGCAGATGACTTCAAGCAGCACAGGTTTAACTGAAATTTCTGATAGTGCCTAAAGGCTACCACAGAGACGGAAAGAAACTGCTGGCAGATACAACCCAGCTACCTTTGGCTCTTTGGGAGAGGGAAGATGCCCAGCCAAACAAGCCAACAAAACTCACTTGCGAGTGCTGCCAGTGGCTCTAAGTGCTGTCTCCCCTCCAGGGGCACATGTCCAGCCCCAGAGGAGCAGGGGTAGCAGCCAGGCAGCCCTGCCGAGAGGCAGCACAGCCCTGCGGCCGGGGAGGCGGCACACGCTGCCAGGCTGGCCCCGAGCTCCCCGTTCCTGGTCCCGCTCCCGGCTCTGGCACCAGAGCAGCGCGGCTCCAGGGCCAGCAGGCCCCAGCGTGCCCGAGAAACCCGAGATGGGAACAACTGGCAAAGCCCCCCCAGGCACGGGCGCCCTTGGGAAGGCCTGCAGGGCCCCGCAGCTCAAGGCTGAGAGCAGAGGTGCCCGAGCTCCCAGCATCTCCGCCACTGTCTGCCTTTTTCTGGCTGCCCGGCTGAAACCCCCTTTTGTTCCCAAGCTCTCACCCTTCGCATCAGCCCGGTCGAGAGCCGTGGGATTAACGAAGAGCACGGAGTGCCCCCTCCCCACAGCGCCGGGCGGGGGGCGCAGAGAGGCATTTCTACCTGCAATTAGAGCCAGATGGTTTGGGGAAGGACTCCCCTCCCTTTCATCCTGATCACTGGAGCACTTCAAAGGCAGCTGGAGCCTAGCCAGACTCTCATGAGCGCACACAGCCCGTCCCCAGCCCTGTCCCTGTACATCAAAGCCCGCGATCCCTCCGTCCCCGGGGGAGGGAAAAGAGCAGCGGGGACGCTGCTGGTCCCTTGGCTGCTGCCCAGGGCAGGCTGAAGGCAGGAAGGGCCGGTGACAGACTCCACCAGATGGGCCCTGAGGACAGAGGGCTGCAGAGAGGACAGAACCTGCGCTGCCCAGGCAGAGCGTTTGGGGCTCCCCCTCTCCCTGGCCTGGGGGACTCCTGTGGCACTGCTGGTAGCAAACCTGAGCAGAAAGATCCCTGCATACACCTTCCCCTCCCAGCACCCTCTGTCCTCATCCAAACCACAACGGTTTCAGGAAGAATGCATGGGAATGATGCCTGGCTCTGCCTCAGCCGCTTCCCAGTTCCTTAGCCCCTTGCTAGGTCTCTTGTCATGACCCAGAAGTCCCTGACAAGAAGCAAGGAGCCCAGGTGGAACAAAAACAGCAAAGAGGGCTGAGCAGGCAAACACAGCCATGTCCCAGTGCTGGCTGCACGGCACTGCCTGCTGTGCTGGGTTTGCTGCCAGCTGCACATGCCCAACACAACCCCTGCACAAGAGACTGGCAACAGCCCTGAAAGGCTGGCGTTCCTGCCTAATTTGCAAAGAGCTTATTGGGCTGAGTGAGCTCGTGTCACACACAACCCAAATTTAATACACATGGAAAGTGAGGTCTCCTCTAGCAACAAGATCTGAGCTCACCCAAGGACACCAGAGCAAGCAAGCCAGGAACAGACTCAAAGTCTCCAAATTTACACTCAGTGCCTAATTCAGATTTTACGCCCAAACAAGCTCAAGAAATTCAGAGTACTGTTCCCACAGGGAAAATGTAAAACTGCTCCAGGGGAACTGGCTGCAAAAGTGTGGCAGGGCGAACAGAACTCCCTCAGCTCCCAGATACTCTGGAGGCATACGCATTGCGTGGGTGGCCACCCTGGATGGCCAAGAGCCCTTCAGAAATGGTCACTACAATGTACCACTCAACACTTCCCTCCTGTTGGCATCTGCATTACTCTAAAGGTTTGCTGGGGTAAAATCTGTCCCTGCATCAGATGTCCCTCCCATCTAAGGCTCAGTGCCCTGCCCCAGACAGTCAACAAGCTCTTAGAAGGCCCAGTGCTCCCTCCAGGTCAGAGCATCCATGGTATCAGATGTGTGTTCATCCATGGTATCAGATGTCCCTGACAGCCACACAAGCAGCTGTCCTCGAGGTTTGCACCCTGCTGCATGACACCCACCCTCCCCTCTGCACTGTCCAAGGAGCAGCTGGATAAAGCCATCAAGGGTGGAGCACAGCTACTGCAGTGGGCTAAGGAAAGAGAAGACTTGCTTGTCCAAAGGGAACACTTTATTCCCCTGCTCCCTACAGAGCACAGGCTAAAGCCTGCAAACCCTTGGAGAGCTGAGCAGCAGCAGCTCCCTTCTCCTTCCAGCACCACAGAAGCAGAGTGCAGGGCTGGGAAGCCATCAGTGTCTTCCAGTCCAGTTCCAACCTTCTCCTGCAACCAGCCAGCACCAAGCAAAGGAAAAAGCTGAACAAGGAGTTGCCACAGCTGCTCCTGTTTACACTTGGCATATCCTACCTGGCTGGGAATAAGGGTTCCCAGGGCAGGAACCTGAGAGAAACTCTGGGGCAGCACTCAGGAAAGAGCGTGGACTTTGCATTTGTGAAGATGATGTTTTGACTGAAGGCTGTTAGCAGGATCATACCTGCCTACCTACCAGCCCAGGAGCACTTCCCACATAGTCCAGGCTGTCCCACATGTAGGACTGACCACTGAAACACCTTGAGGCACAAGCTTAGAAGAGAAGTTTGGAAGGGGAAATAACTCATTAGCAATTCCTCCCCATGTCATACCTCCTTTGTACATAACATGGGCAACAAGGTGTGTGGAAAAGGTGTGGGAAAAGGCCACGCATCATTGCTCTAGAGACCAAAAGCTGGCATTTTTCCATTTCTAGTCCATACACCTCTATAAGAATTGCTCAAAAATCTGGAGATGATGAAGAGAGCAGCCACAAAAATATTTCAAGGGATGGAAAGTCTTGTACAAGTCTCGTACAAGTCTTTTCCAGTGAAAGACTTGTACAATTCAATTTCTTTCTCATGCTGAAAAAAGAAAGCAATGACTCAGTTTTCCAGTTCTTTAAGGCAGTAATCCATCAGGCACCAGAGACTATAATCCAGAACAGAAACACATAATAGGAAGCAATGTGCCCAAGTCAAAGCCAAAAAAATTTAACTGAGGAATAAGGATCATGCTTTTAATGCCATAGGTAATTAACCACAGGAACAATTAAAAAGAAAAGTGACAATTTTTTTTTGTGGAGACTGCCAAACCCACATCACTGGGCTCAACACATGAGTACTGCAACTGCACTGGGGAAGAAATTCAAGGCTCTAGTAATTTCTTCTGCTCTTAAAATTTGTGATTTTGCTAGAAATGTCTGACTTTGAACTAAATCTGGGTTAAGGAAGCAAATGACCAATGTTCATGTGATGCAGCTCTTACCATTAGAGACATGACATTTCAGTTTAAAACCTGAAAGCATCATCAGACTAGTTCCTGTGCTGTACTGCACTTTGGCAACCAGGGACACCACCACACTGCCACTTACACAACCACAGGTACTTATCCCTCCAGCACCTCTACAGGAGCTGCAAGCTGCCAGAGCACCCAACAGCAGTTCTCTTTGTAACTACACAGACTGCTGAGCAGAGATGCCCCTCATCGTGGGGTTAAACAAATCCAAGCACGTTTGAGAGAACTCCCCTGGCAGGGCAGCACTGCCAGAGCATCAGCAGCCAGTGCAGCAAGCAAGTCACCAGCACAGGACAAGCTCAGAGGATGCAGCTTCCAGCCACACCTATCCCAAGCCAATTATCGAGCACATAAACTCATTCAGCTTGAACCAAGGAAACCTGTGCACACGGCAGTCGGATCAGAGGCAACACTCAGGCTGTGCTTTGGGCTTGTTAACACTGCAGTGCAGAAAATGACGTATTTGCTAAAGGCTGGTACCACACTGAGCTATAATTATAAGGAATGGGGGCTTTTGTTGCTTAATCATTACTGCTTGTGTTAGGTTTCCTTTGAACAGTTTTACCATGCTGTATTGAAACAAGAAACCACCAGAAGAACTATTGATCTTTTCCTGAATAGACCTTCCTTCTCTTTCCCCAAAGCTTTCCAACATTATTTTAAAATCTGTCTGTTGCAAACTTGCCCACTTATGAATTAGTCAAGTAGATTTTTTTTTAACCATAAAACTTTTCTTTTTATATTTACCTAAATGAGCTGCAAAGATCTGGAGAAAGTATTAAAAAAAAATTATCTTTGGACTGAAACTGGGTAGGAACAACTCCAGAGTAGGATTTTCCTATAAAGCCATACTATAAAGCCATGGAAGTAGAGAAGGCTCGTTGGTTGCATTAGAAGGAAGCCCAGCATGTCTGGGGTTAGCTCTGGGGCTGCAGTTTGCAGAAAGGCTCATGACAATCTTTGCTGGTGGATTGGGAGAAAGGGAGGTTTTTCTAGTGCTAACAGGTAACACTGCTGTCTCTTTAAAACAAAGTAAGGTTGAACAGCAGGGTGATCCCCAGGAACAAACGCAGTGTGCCACGATGCCTCCCTCCCACAGAACATGCCTTCTCCTCTATGAGGCACTGCCCAAATAAAGGGCTTTTTTAGCCCAGCC